AGGAAAGGTTAAAAAAACAGGGCATGTTTAGTCTTGAGAAAAGATGACTAAGGAGGGACCCGATTAACAGCATTCAAATATGTTAAGGACTTCTTATAAAGAGGACGGTGATCAGTTGTTCTGCAGGTGCACGGAAGATAGGACAAGAAATAAGGGGTTTAATATGCAGCAAGGGGGATTTAGTAACATTAAGGAATATTTTGCAGCTGTAAGGTTAGTTACGCTCTGGACCAGGCTTCCAAGGGAAGCTGAATTTTCTGAAAGATCCTAGCATCGTGGACCCTGCTAGGGTACCCTGATTTAGGTTTAGAAACCTGCTGCAGTGATCAACCAGCCCTTTGAACACCATGGAGAAATACCCCCTTCTGTTTATAAATTCTGAGCCCTGCCTATAAGGGAACTAAAATACTTAAATTATTTCTTCTGAAAATCTAAAGAAAGGGCCAAAACTCCATAATACTAAGCAATCTTCAAAGCATCTCTCACACCCAGGCAAAAAGTCCACAAGAATGTGAAAGAGGCTGGTTTCTAGTAGACTGACGTGCTGGTGGCAGTTTGGCCCATCTTTATTGTAACTATGAGAGACTGCACAACTCCCTCAGTCATAACATCAACTCCAGCTAAGCAAATAGCCTTTTTAATATCCAGAACATGTGAGAGGAGGGGGAAATAGGCACATGAATCCCATTAGTTGCCCCACTACAATTTGGGAATCCCATGTGCGCAAAGCCATCAATAATTGGAGCATTACCAAGCTTTGTAACCCGGTGCAACAGTACCGTAACCATAGTAGCATCACACCACCTACATGACATAAGAACGGCCATACTGGGTCAGACCAAAGGTCCATCCAGCCCAGGATCCTGTCTTGGGAACCTGGCATTGGCCACTGTCGGAAGAGGGAGTGAACAGAACAGGTAATCCTCAACTGATCCATCCCCTGTTGTCCCTTCCCAGCTTGTGGTAAACAGAGGCTAGGGACACCATCCCTGCCCACCCTGACTAATCGCCATTGGCGGACCTATCCTCCATAAATTTATCTAGTTCTTTTTTGAACCCTGTTATAGTCTTGGCATTCACAGTGTCCTCTGGCAAGGAGTTCCACAGGCTGACTGCGTTGTGTGAAAAAATACTTTTGTTTGTTTTAAACGTGCTGCCTATTAATTTCATTTGGTGGCCCCTAGTTCTTGTGTTATGAGGAGTAAATAACACTTCCTTATTTACTTTCTCCACATCAGTCATGATTTTATAGACCTCTATCATATTCCCCCTTAGTCATCTTTTTTCCAAGCTGAAAAGTCCCAGTCTTATTATTCTGTCCTCATATGGTAGCCTTTCCATACTCCTAATCATTGTTGTTGCCCTTTTCTGAACCTTTTCCAATTCTAGTATATCTTTTTTGGGGGTAGGGTGACCACATCTGCACGCAGTATTCAAGATGTGGGCATACTATGGATTTATATAGTGGCAATATGATGTTTTCTGTCTTATCTATCCCTTTCTTAATGATTCCCAACATTCTGTTTGCTTTTTTGACTGCTGCTGCACATTGAGTGGATGTTTTCAGAGAACTATCCACAATGACTCCAAGATCTTTCTTGAGTGGTCACAGCTAATTTAGACCCCATCATTTTGTATGTCTAGTTGGGATGGCCTCAAATGACTTGGCTTGTTGCAGACTACTAAAATTCAGGGGTGGTCAGCTTCCAGCTGGCACTGGCAACTCCCTTCTCCACTAGCATGGGGCACCACACATTGGTATGCTGCCACTGCAAGTCCAGGGTTAGTTCAGCACATATCTCACAAAAGGTTGCAGTTGCCAGCATAGTGGTGTGGAGCATTGTTGGTCCATACTGCTGATAGCAATTCAAAAATGGCATTAGCAATTCAAAATGGCACCAGAAAGGAAGTATGCTTTGGAGATGGTGGAAACATGGGATTTTTAAAAAATCTGAACCCACCTGGCTTCTGCTATGCATCCCACAATACCCAGTGAAAAAAATCTCAGAATGCAAACTGCTCATCAGTGAAGCAAAGGACCATAGGATATCCCCAGAGAATGCCATGCATTTAGTATGTCTCAAGCCACCGCCGTACAATTCGGATGTGAATTGAAAGCGCACAGCCATCCCAGGTGCACGCTATTAGTGCAGCTTGTGTGTTGCATGTTAAATAAGACAGATCAAAGCAATCCGATTTATACCCCCATGTGGATGAGCCCTTGTTCTCCATCATCTGCTTCCTCTTTTCTCACTCTCTGCACCCTTTTATCTGTTTTCTTTTTCCAAATGTATTCTAACATCTCAAGTATATTTTTTCTTTTCTGGTTCCTCCCCTTCTTCTTGCAAGCTCCTTAGGGTAGGGGCCTGTCTTCTAAGTATCTCTAGTGAAGTGCCTACCACATTTGTGCTAGTGGGTTCTTTTTTTAAAAGAAACTTTTTTAACTCATCCATCCATCCTTCATGAATTTGAAAAATGTACCATACATCTAATAGTTGCAAGATTAACCTAATCAGTGGTTCCACTGTCCAGGGGTGATGCCCAAGTGAGAAATCAAGGGCTCCCCAACTCCCCTTCAGCTGTTGGGAAAAGAAGAAAACTGGAATTAATACAGGGTGCTGTCCAATGTTCCCTCTAAATTTTTTCCATCCATGGGCAGAACGATTTTTGTTATGTGCACCAATATCGAGATAACGTGCGGGTGTGCATCACCAGTAGAAACAAAAAACCTGGCTATAATATATATTTTTAAAAAGTTACCATAGCGATAATTACTCCAGTCAGGGCAGGTTAGGCATTTTAGAACTCACTACTCAAAGAATTAAATTTAAGCATAAGAGAGAAATAAAAATTATGAAATGCATAGACCAGTCAAAAAACTAAAATAACACACTTTGAAGCAATAAAATTACAGAGAATATATGTCCATTGCGGGAAGTACCAAGAAGTAACAACAACAAGAAGTATGTGTTGGGAGGTAGGGGTAAGTGTGTGTGAGCGAGAGAGAGACTCCGTGCGTATGTGTGCGCTGGCTGCTGGGGAAGTCTGAGAGTCTGTGCGCTGTCTTATTAAGGCACTCACTCACCACTGGAAGGCTTGTTCAGACCTCAGACCGCATCAGCTCTCCTGCTCCTGAGCCCTGTCCCCTCCCCCAGCTCTGTGGAGATGGGAGAATGTGAGCAGGGCGGAGGCGGGCGAGGGGGACACCCTGACATCGTTGCTGGCCCCCCGCCGCCCCGGGCACAGCAAGCAGGAGTGTCTGGGAGCCATTGGCCAGGGCTCCAAGGCAGAGAGCAGGAGCAATGTGGCTGCAAAGCAGCAGTGGGAGGGGCACCTGAACACATGCTGCTGGATGTGCGCTTCTCTGCTAATGAAGTGCGTGCCACTTGATTAACTGCTGGGCAGCTGTGCAACCACATAACTTAGAGGGAACACAGGTGCTGTCTGAAGATTTTGCTTAGTGGTTCCATCTCTTCTAGCCTCTGGCTAGTAGGTGAGCTGATCATTTTGAAACCCCTTGTGTGTTCCTGCCCCTTCTGACTGCTGAAAGGGAGAAAGAACATTCATTCCCAAGACAGTGATGTTGACCTGATTCTGTATGTTTGGCTGCTGCTGGTCACAGGATTCTCAGTAGTAGCCGTAAAAAAAGAAAGCTAGATTCTGCAGAAATTGGTGGTACTTTCCTGGAAGAGATTGTTACTGCCACAGGTGAATGGACTTTTCAAACTCACATTTTAAAAGGGTCATGCTTACTGCTTGGGTCCTGGAGCTACTAGATTGTCCCTCCCTCTTAGCTCTCACTACCTTATAAAGAAGGGGAATTAGGGTATCCTGCAGAGTTAGGAGCATTTGTAAGATAGCAAGAACTGAAGGGAATAACCAAATAGCTCAGAGACCCTCGAGAGTTAGCAGCTTTCCAGAACACAGGGAGCTAAGGGTAAGGATAGAGGATTATTCACCACTTCAATGTCTTCTGGGAGTTTAAAGAAACTGACTCATAACTGAGACGGTTATGTGTTTATGCATTTGATTTTAGAGCTGAACGTTTGAAGAGTGTAAACCAATGTGTAAACTTTTACACACAGCTTTGCTGACTGTAATCCAATAACTATGAACACTATAAATAACTTTACTATTTAAAAAACATTTTTCTAATACATGTTATGCGTGAGTATGTACATTTGTGTGTTTTAGAAATGGTGCAGTTTCTGAGGGAAGCGAATCAAAGAATCATAACACATCTTGTGGATTTGAAAAATGAATCACTTGTAAACATATATCCTAAATGTCTGAAACTCCATAAAAATTATTTTTCTTAAACTAAAATGACTACAAAATGTGTAGGGCTAGCTTGTTCCTATTAAATGTGTGCAAATTTATCTCTGTTATGGTCATTAGTAGCTAGCCACCAGTGTAAGTGAAGCAGTGCAAATGCCTAGTGTAGGTAGGTCAAGTTGTGATAAATTCTAGTTTGTATAGATGCAGCTCAACCTGGTTTCAAACGGAGTTAAGCAGCAATGGTGCAAACTGTGGCTAAAGTGGCTTTTGTCTGTCTGTGGTAGTGGGGTTACACTGGTGCAGCTAAACTGGTGTCTGGGTGCTGAGAGCTGAACTCCGCAGTATAGACAAGATTTTAGGCTCTTAATGGATTGCTGATTGTAGCCTTAACTATGGAGTTGTGACAAGCACTTCCAAAGTTGTTGTTTGTAGCTAGACATATATGTGTGAAGGAAAGAATTCTTGCTCTACTGGTTAAATTGGCAGTTTGGTTGTGGTAATTACAGTAAAATATTGGGAAGTGGATTGATATTTGTTTCAGCAATATAAATAACAAACTCTATTGCATGGAAGAAGTTAGATGTACCGGAGTACCAATTTCTATCTCACTAAATATGAGTTAAGTTAGTAACTTTACTCACTTTTGAACTATCTTCAGTGATAGTCTGTCTGATAGTCTCACTCACACACGTATATTAACTCAAAGTTCTCTGCTTTTCCAGGAGACAAAGATGGCAGCAAAGTGACTACAGTGGTGGCAACTCCTGGACAGGGTCCAGATCGACCGCAAGAAGTTAGTTATACAGACACCAAGGTTATTGGAAACGGATCTTTTGGTGTTGTGTATCAAGCCAAACTCTGCGATTCAGGAGAGCTTGTGGCCATTAAGAAAGTTCTTCAGGACAAAAGATTTAAGGTGAGATTTATATGAAACCTAGGTTGTTCTTTAAAAATATTCCTGTATTTCTACTCTTTCTGATTGCAGGTTCTTTGGTGACTTGCTTTTCATTGGTGTACATATACTTAATATTGCAACTTGAATCACTATCATAAATAATTATTTTGCTTTGTGCATAGGAAGAAGTTTGAAGTCCTGATTTGAAGGTGTTAGTTACATTTCTTGTATCAAAGTATTTGTGGTCTCAGGTTGGGTTCCAGTAGCAAACAATTAACCAGGGGAAATAGGGAAAAGCTCTTTGTTAAAAGTATTATTTTTTGATATGAGAAGACTGCCCTGATCATTAGTAAATAAGCAAGAGGGAGAGGATGGGGATGGCAAAGGCCGTCGAGTTTTGTTCTAGATAGCTATATCTACAGAGTTAGGCTGTGTGGAAGGCCCTTCTCAAGCAGTGAGAGATGCCCCACACCAAGTGAGAAGGAAGTAGACAGAATGAGCACATGGGAATTAGGACTCAGTGAGAGTTAGGCGCCAAGGGAAATTAGACATCTATATTTAATTACTTATTCTATCTAAACCTCAATATTAATAATAAGAAAACACACAAAGTTAATCTATCTCTACTCCCTTTAAATGCACCCTAACTATGGAGGGTGAAGGTGAGCAGTGGATTAATCAGGAGAGGTGCCACTCAGTGTATTGTTCCAAGTATTGCAGCTGTGTTGGTCCCACAATATCAGAGGGATAAGGTGGGTGAGGTAATATTTTTTATTTGACCAACTTCTGTTGGTGAAAGAGACAAGCTTTCAAGCTACAGAGCTCTTTTCAGGTGGTCTTAATTGCACAGAGTACTTTCTTTGTGGTCAAGTGGTATATGTTTGCACCTAGTGCAAGCAGCTTGTGGCCCTCAGAGCCCAGGTACAGCATCTTGAGGCCAGTGTTGCTGGACATTAGGAGTATCTAGAGATGGTATATAGCAGGGATCAGCGACCTTTGGCATTGGTAAGCCCCCTGGCGGGCCGGGCCAGTTTGTTTACCTGCCGCATCTGCGTCCCACTGGCTGTGGTTCGCTGCTCCAGGCCAAAGGGGGCTGCGAAAGCGGCGCGGGCCGAGGGATGTGCTGGCCGCTGCTTCCCGCAGCCCCCTTTGGCTTGGAGCGGCGAACTGCGGCCAGTGGGAGCTGCGATTGGCCGAATCTGCGGACGCGGCAGGTAAACAAACTGGCCCGGCCCGCCAGGGGGCTTACCCTGGCAGGTCGCATGCCAAATGTTGCCGATCCCTGGTATATAGGGACAGGATTACAAGACCAAATGTAAGCAAAAGGTGCAAGTTAAAGAGAGATGGTCAATTTGAAAATCAAATTTTCACCTTAAAGTTGGACACCTATTTGTAAAAAGTAGTAACACCTCAGATTGATTCCCCCCAACCCAGTCTGTCTTGTTTTTTTCCAGTTTGCTTACTTTGTGCATTTGGCAGCACTTTGTGTATAGTCATTTTCATTGTTGGTGGTTGTACTTCTGACTTCCTGTCCTAGCATGATGACATCACTCTCATGGACTGCTTTACCAGAGCTCACATGCATGCTCTTCCTCAGGCCTTGCAACACGGTTATCGTCAGTAATGGCATCAACAAACCTGAATGGCACTGAGTAGGTAGAGACAGGCAAGCACACAGAAAAGGAGGTAGAAGGATATATCTTTATAAGGAATCTTGCACTCATTTAAAGCATTTTATTTTAACACTTCTGAGTGAGAAACCAGACATGTAACTTTTTGCATTGTTCTTCTGTCTACCAGAGTGCCATTCCTGAACCTTTTACATATGTGGTAATGGCTGGCCTGGGAAGGCATGCCCGTGTATTGTGAGGGCAATGAGGAGAGAATTCTATGGATGGGGATTAGGTAAATGGTGGAGCTAGTCTGTTTTGAGAGAGAGGTATTACAATCCTCTTTGTGCGTTTTCAAGGGAGGCTAGTAAACTATTACCACTGCTAATGTCATAATTGTAAGATGCAAGGTAGTACATAGGACTAAATTCTTTACTTCGTTACAGCTTGTGCATTCCCATGGACTTTACTGGAGTTTCACCGTGCTTAAAAGTCAGAATTTGGCCCAGAGTGCTAGTTTCTGGGAGGTCAAACCCTTAAGACATTAGCAGTGGTAAGAGTTAAGTGATCTCATCTTTTCTTTATAAATCAGCATGGGTGGTTGTGTGATGCACTTAAACATAGGCGGTTGTTACTCCTTCAGTAACAGTGATGCAGCGCAGCAATGTTCCTAGGTTATAGCTTCGAACTTTTCAACTTCCTTTAAGCAATTAAGAGAAAATAAATTGTAGCTTTGAAATTAACATCTGTATTACCTGTGTTTTCCCTATTCATTCAGGAAAGGCTCCTGATTTCAGCAGGATTGCTCACTTGAAGTGAACATAATATTATTATCCTCCTCTTTATTGGCTCCTAGGTAATTGATTAGGCAAGATGTGTATCAGCAGTATATATGTCCAGTTTGCAAAGGCCTAATATATCCTGACTAGGTAGCGGTAATAGTAAGTTCCCTGGGATGGGACCCAAGTCTTTCCTTTATCTTGTACAGCACCAAGCATACTGTCAGCTGAACAAGGTGTGCAATTTTGCTAGCCCTGTTGGATAGACACATTCAGAGTGTAGTTTAATATGTGAAACTGAAGGCTAAATCACACTGGCCACCCAAGAAGCAAGGGCATCAAGCACCACTGCTGCTCTTGAGGTGGCATGGCTTTTATTTTGGGGGGAAAATGTGCTTGTACACATGCACATGTATATCACTGTCTGTAAATTCCATATCTGATTCTGGAATTGAACTTGATCATCCTTCTGACCAAAGAATGTGGCTAAGGCCAATGGTTAGGTTCAGTGTCCTTTAAAACCTGTCAGCCATGCTTCTGAGTCAGCTGGAAGGCATAAAAGGAGCGTTGGAGACTCTCCTTTCCTCTGTTGTTTGGGCTGTTGCATCCCCAGCATTGCTGACTTAGGAAGAAGGGCTCAAGCTCAAGTCTTTTGTATGCTAGATTTCCTTGGAAATCTGCCACGATTTCACTATTACTGGTATGGCTCTGCTGGTGGTGGTAACTCAGGAAGTACTAGTGTAGACAGGACTCAGGTAGCTTCAGCTGTTTGCCTTCTGTGGGTAGTACGCCTAGCCTGTCAGGTTCAACCTGTAGATACCTGTAATTTGATAAATCCTTTATTGCGTCCTCCTTTATATGTGTGTGTGTGTGTTTATATGTATTTTATTTTATTTTTAAAAAAAGAAGCCATTAGACTTAAAATACGCAGCTTATTAGGTCTAAGATCCATTTCATTCCAAAAATATGAGATATTTCCAATAAGAAACAACAGTACTGATGCTGGGGGTGCTATTCGGAAGGGAGTTTCCAGTGTCATATTCTCAAGTGTGGAAGGAAGGGTATATGTAGGGGGAAAAACATATTGAGAAGATTGGCAAGTTTTGTGTTCATTTCCATGTGTGGGTCTGTGGAGAACAGGAAGTTGAGAAATGCTACCTTTCGTGTTAAGTTTAACCTGGCAGTTAGTAGCTGTAGTTGGAATTGCCAGGCCAGCACATGGTGGTTCTTAAGCCGATCTGTCCGATTTGTTCTAGGAAGTATGGAAAACCCTTTTTTTAAACCTTCCATCCATTTTGGGTCTCCATGAATCCTGTAACTGAAGCAGCAGCACTACATTGTTTAAGCATGAGAAAGGCCTTATATTGACAACACTGGCGCATGAGTAGTTTAACTTGGCAACTGAGATGTCCTATAGAAAGCTCCCTGGTTAAAATTGTCAGGGAAGCATATATTGACTACTTCTACATTTTAAAGATTTTTCTTTATTGCGGAATTGAACACCCAGTGTTAGCTGGTCATGTAGAGAAATAATGAACTAATGCAGTGATGTTGTTTATCACCGGGTGTACAAAGGACAACTTTCCAAATGAATAATTCCACTGAATTCTGTAATGCAGTCTCTAATTTCCTTCACCTTTTTAATATGAATGTACTGATCAAGGAGATTTAAATTCTGTTGTGCAGTGTTCCTGGCTCTTGTGATCAAGTCAGAGCACAACATGCGAGGATCCGATGTCTCTGTGGGCCTCGTCTCCACGTTAAAGATAAGGGTGACCGCAGTCACTTCAGTTCATGTAAATTAAGGGTTACCCATGCAGTTCTTAGTTGAGCAAAGTGTGAGCACCCCACATTTAGCAGAATCATTCCCATGTTGCTGGTTCCGTCAGTACTTTGGTGACTAGGCTGGTTGAATGCCGTTGGCACATAGGAATAGTAGTCTGTAGGAAACAAATTCAGAAAGTTTACAATACATTTGTCAGCTTGTCTTAATTTTTACATGTATTTTCATCCATACCTGTTTTACATGTAGCTTCTTAACTGGTGCAGCCTAATATATGTGATTTTCATTTTGCTAGTCTAAATTTTAAGTGAAACTATATTTTTATTAGCTTGTGATTACTGTTCTGAGGATTTATGTTCACAGACCATGTATCAGTCATGTTTCTCTCTGTTTCTTTGAGAAATGCAGTAAAATGTTAATTGATACATTGGTACAAATAATGGACATTCCAGAGGAAGACTATTCATATTCCTACGTATATTTTTAAGAACTTTTCCAGATATGAATATATCAGCTTCTAGCATAATCTCCCAATTGACTACCAGTAGTGACTGTAACCATTCATGTCAAGGTGCATACAGGCAATCCTTGACTTTACAACATTCGACTTCTGATGAATGCTACTTACGACATTTCTGAATTGACACCCTGATTCGACTTATGACCATTGGTTTCAACTTTACGATGCTTGGTCCCATAATGGAGTGGATTGCGGTTCTGAGTTACGATGGTTCAACTTACGACGCAATTTTCAGGAACCAATTGTGTCGTAAGTCCAAGGACTGCCTATATTGGAATCTGTAGTCTGCAGGCCATCTCCATCTTAACAGTGAATGTGGCTGTGTTCTA